GCGAACGTAAGTATTGATTGTGGTGCAATTGATAGCCACACGGTGCGAATAAATATATATGTTTAGTGGTCAAACGGTACTACTTGTATAGTGCAGCAAAAGTAAAGAAACGAAAAGACAATGCGTGATACAAAAATAACAGAAGTGACGCTCGAACAAAGGTGTTGGCATTGCTAAATTCTGTGCTAGTTTAGTTAATTAGTTGTTGTGTTTGCAATTTATTAAAAACACAAAACTAAAGAAATACAAAAATTTATTTGATAATAAAAAAAGCATAAAATTCAAATTTCATAATTAAAACATTTTATTAATAAAATAATTTTAATTAAAATACATTTTATTGAATTATTTATACTTAATTTTTTATTTCATTTGTTTTTTTTTTATAAAAAAATATTAATTAAAAATCCATATATAAAAATCATATTTTTATATTAAAATAAAATATATAAAAATTAATTTAAAAATATTAAAATTAATTGTACGACCTTATTTAATAAAAAAAATTAATGGTTGGAAAATCTAATTTCATTTCATTTTCTTCTATGATAAAAATAAACTTTTAATAAAATTACAAAAAAAAATAAACTTTTAATAAATTTTTTTACATTTAATCAATTAATGAAATTAATTAAGTTTATATATTAAATAATGAAATTGAAATTATTTAATAAGAAAATTATTTCAAAATTATATAATTAATTTTATTTAAAAGTTTTAGTATTAATCATTATATTAATTAAGTTTCAATTAATTTTTCTTTAATTCCATTAATTGTAGAAAAATTATTTTTGAATTGTAGAAAAATTAAAAATATGTAATTTAAAATTAAATATATTTCTACCAAAGTAAAGTAATGAATCATGAAATAAATTACCAAAATTTTTAAAATAATTTTTATCTTTATAATTAAATAATAATTTTTTATTTAATTTAATTTTTTTTGTTTTAATTAATCAGCGTAATTAAATTTGCTAAAATTTAATCAATGTTTATTATTTGTTTTAATGTCTTAATTTAACAACTAATCCCTTAAATGAGAAAAAATAATAAAATTAAATAATTTAAGCAGTTTTATTTCGTATAATTTTTAAGAAAAAATAATTGAAACAAATATAGTTAATTAATGAAACTTATGAAAACTAATTTTATTTCATTTAGAAACTTTTTATAATTTTGTTTGTTAAGAAAATTTAATTTTAGTGTTTTTTTTTAACTTAACAAAATTTTATTCAATTAAATTTATTTTCATAAACATTTAATTCTTATTTTCCAGATATAAAATCCAACCGCGGAAAGATGTCGAACAGGCGCTGGCGTCACCCGATTTCGATCCATTCGCCGAACGCAAAGTGGCACATCCAACCACGTGAGTACCACTAAGCGCTCAAATGAAACAAAATAATTATTTACTTTTATGTTTCTAGTGATAATGAGACACTTACGCATTTGCTGAAGGCCTCGCTGGGCACCGGCATCCTATCCATGCCGATCGCCTTCATGTACTCAGGCATTGTGCTTGGCATTTTTGCCACCATCTTCACTGCTTTCATCTGTACACACTGCAGTTATGTACTGGTGAGTACTACACATTTTTAGCGTAACACACACACATACATATGTACATGTATGCACTGTTTAATATACGAAAAAACATATGTACACGTGTGCATGAAACGCAAAGTAAAAGAGAAATTGAAGAAATTGCATATATGTAGCCATATAGTATAGGTATGTGAGTGTGAATATGTGTACATATTTACAAATTGGGTACAAATGCCCTTGTAAGCACGCAACTTATTTATATGCTATTTACAGGTGAAATGCGCCCACAAACTCTACTACAAGTCGCGTCGCACGGAGATGAGCTTCGCCGAAGTTGCTGAAGTGGCATTTCTGAATGGGCCAAAATGGGCACGTGGTTTTGCGTCAGTCGCTAAATTTTCCATACTTTTTGGACTGTTTCTGACCTACTTCGGCACCTGTTCGGTGTATACCGTTATTGTGGCGAAGAATTTCGAGCAGGTATGTGTGAGAAATAATAAAAAATACCAAAAATAAATTTTAATAAAATAAAAATAATCGTTTTTAGTATATACAAGTAAAGTTAAAATAAAATTAAAATAAATATAAAATTAAAAATTAAATTAATATATATGTATATAATGCACATAAATGTAAAAATATATTTATATATTTTAAATAATGAAATTTTAATTTAACTATGATAAAATATTTATGTATATTTATATGCATATGCAAATTATGAAAAATTAAAATTAAATAAAATTTGTAAAAATATAAATTTAATCAAAATTGAAAATTTTTCAATAAATTAAAAAAATAAATTTTTTTTCAATAATTAACATTTAAAAAAATATTTAAGAATATTTTCATATTCTTTGCCTCCAGGACCCAAACTAGACTGCAGACGGCATTTATTTTATTAATTTAATTAGAGTTCAAACTTCATCAAATACTTTTTTTCTAACTTTTCCCCGCACTCTTTTGAAATTAAAAACCTTCAAAAACTCCAGATTCAGGATTAAACAGTGTATTCCGAACAACGTAGCATAACGAAGTCTGAAATGAAAATTACACCACACCACTAGTGACCGTAAGTGTACTACCTATAAATTGCTACACGAAGAAATTTATCTAATTAATGCACACTTGAACTGTCTAAATTTGGTCCATGCGTCCGCTGCATTAGTATACTTCTTACATTTCGAATTGTCAATTGTTTGTGATGTGTGGCGCCGGACTTTTCGTCGTGTCAATAGCCTTCTGCTTGCGTAACCTTGATTCGCATGCTTACAATTCGCAGAATTTTAAATTCTTTCAATTTTCGGTGGCACCAACTAAATTTGCGCAATTGTAATACTTAAGAGGGGCGGTATGTCTCTCCACATGTGTGTGTTTGTTGGCGTGTGTAAAAACATGTGATTCTGGGCGGCCTTTCTGTTTCAATTAAACCTAACAAATTCTTTACATTTTTGGTACAATTAAAGAATAAATTTTTGTCTTCTCACAATCTCAGACTGAGAACGAAATTGAAATTTCAATTAATTTTACGCCGACAATCGGTGTTAATCAATTGTAAATGAAGAAATGAAAACGATAGTTAAAAGTCGTCTGAGGGTATATATATATATACTTGTATGTATATAGCTCCACACATTCCATTTCAAGAAGATGATTTCCATATAAATATACTATGTACATATAGTTAAACACCACATAGTTAAAGCTAAGGGCTGTCAGCTCCTAAACGCCGTGTACGTCAGCCCCTTCATTCAAACGACAAGTCGCGCTCTTCTTTTGGATGACTTATACAGTTTTGTATTTATTTTTTTTGTTTTACTCTTCTTATTTTTCTGCGGCAAAACGTGACCGCCTAATTATATCAACGGCTTTGTTCGCTCTCCATAAACCATGCGCATGCCGGTTTCTTG